TAAAATGTGGCACCATTTCTTTCTTTGATTTGAAAATTATGTATTTATAATGAATTTTCCCTGGTAAAGACTCGTTAAAGCATCAAAATACCTTTATTTAATTTTAAATAATCCTAAATAACATCTAAAACTAAAATAAATAAAAATACTCTCACTCACATGTTTTCGTCGGCAACCATAACCATATTGTTTTTTGTTTACTTTTCGTTGACAGCGCGAGCGTGTCACCGTGGCTGCGGGCACACGTGGGAGCCAGCAGGCATGTAGCGGACATAAAGACAGGTTAACATTGTACAAATAACTAAGTGAAGGCATGATTTTTTAATTTGGTTTAATATATAAATTAAAATTGTTGAAATGATACTTTTTTGTGTTACTGAGCGAGATGTTAACAAATTATTCAGTGTGCTTTGCATTTTAATACAATTTGGTTATTGTAGCCAATAGCAGAATTCTGTTTTGTTGACATGACTTAGAATTTCTACAATATTATAGAATATTTTTGAACAAAATTGAATATTTTTCATAAGAAGGGATGTAAATTATTACTATTTTTTGTAGAGAAAATTACTATTTTTTGTAGAGGTAATTATTAATATTTGTACAATTTTTTTCAGAAGTTAGTAGTAGTAATTACGATAATTGTAATAAATTTCTACTTCTACAAACAATAGTAAAATATACTAAACATTGTGGAATTCTTTCCTATTGTTGTAGCATTTTATTCGACAATTCAATTGCTACAATAATGAATAGTTTTTCACTATAAATTGTAGTAAAATTTTCTACAAATTGTTAAGTATTTTTCTATAAGTTTACTACTAGAACATTGTAGTAAAATTTTCTAGTCACATTTTTTTCCGTGCGTTTTCCTGCAGTCAGGATGGAAAAGTTAAATTATGTGTGTTAGAAAATAATTATACAATGTAATTAAATTGTTAGATATTTCAGAGAACATTGTTTCTTATGTTGCTGAAAAATTGATAAAATTATCTAATTGCCAGGATTCACTATCTAGCGCAACAGTTAGGAAAAATGGGGTAATTTAACAGTTTCAGCTGCAAGTACTAGTATAGAACTGTCCAATTAACTTAAAAAAAAAAAGTATTTTTAATCAGAGATAATCAATTAGGTATCTGCTAAAAAATATTCGTTCTCAATTTGTTTAAAATAAAAAATTGTTTCGAGAAATCAATATTCATAATTATTAAGAGTATCTATCCTTGAAGGAAAAACATATGTATATTAAGATATGATATTGTTCAAACACCAATGAAAATTTAAAAAACTAAATTTGTAATATAAATGTTTTAAGTTAACAATACATTTACTATAGTATTGTAATTACACAAGGTAAAAAAGTAAAACCTTGGCACTTGGCAAAATCGAAGCTTTGTTACTACTAATTCTTTCAAAACCTCCGTTCATGTAAGCGGGTGAATTTGTCGCCTTTGCAGATTCTTTAATTAATAATATACATTTCCTGAATAAACAACTGTATTAAATAACATAAAACAAACAAAATTTTTCTATAATCGTGCGAAATAAAATAAGAGTTCCAGCCATAAATCTTGAAATAGAAAACAGAAAAAAAAACAATCGTTGAAAGCGAAAAACTGCTTAAGAAACATGATTTTGATTGTATGTGACTCATTACTAATTTTTACTTTACTACTTATAATTTCTGTAATGGCTAATTATGATTTTCTTGCTTTTTGTAATGAAAATACTTTAGATTTATCAAGATTATAAAGCTTTGTTATTCGCATATCTAGAATAATTATTATTAAAATGAATATCAGAATTAAATTTTTGTTAAGCATTTCAATATTTGGGAATAATACAATTACGATTAATATTCATTTTTTTCAGAAAAAAAGTAATTTCTTACAAAAATTCTGCTTGTTGAAAAAATTACAAGAAAAAGTTTCCTCTTAAAGTTATTAAGGAAAATCGACAGGAAAACTGTGACTTTTCTTCGTAAAATCAATAGGTAATACAGATTTTTGTCAATTTCAAGTTTCTTCATTTATTAAGACCCTGTACAACTGACCTAACGGGAACTCAGGGAATATACCTCTTGGTCGCCGCGGTCAGTTTTACCCAAATTTAATCCTTTCGCTATTCGAAAGGTATAGGCCACTTGGTCTCCAAACCTGGATTAAGGGTTCCAAGAAAATTATGGGGTTATTTAATTACTCTAATTATAATATCGGTTTGTGACCTGTCGAGAACTAAAATAAAAATATTTTTCATCAGTTAATTGTCTGCATTCTTACTGAAAAGATTAATTTTTTTATTTTAAAAGTGATTCTCATCTTATTCATTATTCCATAAAAGAAGTTTTGAGTTTGTGTTGCAATGGAGTCGATGTTAAGTGTAAAAGGAAAAAAGTTGTTAATTGTAAAAAAATATACATTTGGAAAAGACAAGGAAACAAAGTTAGGTGTATCATATAAGTGTACTCGTCGTGGGTGTAAAGCGACTATTGGAGTGGACGATTCGGAAACTGTCTTATTGAAATCTAAGAGTGAACACAATCATCCACCATCGGACCATTTAGATGTAAAAAAACTTCAAAACGGATTGAAAAGAAAGGCAACAGAAGATATTTGCGTTAAACCCAGTAAGTTAATTAATAACGGAATCCGAGGGGAAGGAAATACTTTTAATGTATCCACTACGGATGTTGACCTCATCAGACGAATAATATACAGGGCAAGAAGAAGTATATTGCCACCTTTGCCAAAGTGTATCAGTGATGTTCATAGTGTACTGAAAGCAATACAATGTGTTACAAATAAGGGTGAACAATTTTTATTATTTAACAATGAAGATTCACAAATTATTTTATTTTCATATGATTCAAATTTAAAATACTTGTGTTCTCGTGATAGTATTTATTGCGACGGCACATTTAATTATTGCCCTAAATTTTTTTTACAATTTTTCACTATACATGCTGTTGATAACGGACACTACATACCATTGGCATTTTTTGTTTTACCAGATAAAAGAGCAAGTACCTATGCAACTGCATTTAAATTATTAAAAGATTACTGTTATAATAATTTAAATTTAGATTGGAAGCTGTGTAAAGTTATTTGCGATTTTGAGAAAGCCATACACACTGGTATTATACAGATTTGGCCTGATATCTTAATTATTGGATGTAGATTTCATTTAACCCAATCGTGGTTACGTAAGATACAAAATCTGGGTTTGATTTCCGAATATAAAAATGAAAATTCTGAAATCGGCAAATGGCTTCATTACACTTTCGGCATTTTATTTTTGGAAAGTACTGAAGTGGCAGAGTGTTTTTGTAAAGATTTAATTCCAATAATGCCATTTGACGAGAGATTAACTTCATATACTCTTTATATGATTAATACGTATACTAGCGATACGTCCGACTTCCCGCCTACAATAGGCGAGTTCGGTCAGTCAGGGGCTGGAGCGGGACAAATTTTAGGGTGCTTTTAAATGACATTTAAGCGTGTTAAACTGTCACTAATCGGACTAAACCTAACGGTAAAAGGGTCGTTTGGAGTTAAAAGTGTTAAAGGAGTTAAAGGAACTTGGCAGACCGAACGCAATGACTGTGGGCATCGTGCACAAGTTCCACAGAACGCACAACAAATGCTTGTGAGTCTTTCCACAAACATTTTAATTCTGCTTTTTATTCGGCGCATCCCGATATATTCAAATTTGTTAATGTAATTCTCGATATTCATATTCATAAATACTTATGTGAAATTAAACAGTACACATATACCTAACAAAATTAAAAACGCTAATTACAAAAAACGGCATGCGTATTTAACGAACGTAATAGAACAATATAAAAATAAGATCCCGAACTCAATTTATCAAAGTAGTTTCTTATCATTACAAAAACTAATTGCAATTTGGGTTTCTTAAATAATTTTTATTTGGTATTTTGTGTATTTTGTACCTACTTTTTTTTATTATGTATAATTTTATATTGTTTTCTATTAATTATAAGTGTTTTTTTAATTTGGTTTTATTCTTTTCCTGACCCACATTCTGTACCATATCATATCAGTTAAAAATTTCTATTCACGTGGAAAATAATAAAAATCAGTTAAACTATTTTTTTCTTAAAAATATTATTTTCAATAAATCGAAATAGATACCTTTAATGATTGATAACTACGGCGACCAAGAGGCCTACCTGATTTTAAAACTGGAGACCAAGTGGTCGATGAGATTACGGAACCCCGCTGACAAAACTAACCGCGGCGACCAAGTGGTCAACACCCGACCTAACATATTAATATAGTAAACTTATTTTTTCGTTAAACAGAATTTTTTTATAATGACTTTTTCCTTAAAATAAAAATAAAGATTTTTCCATTTTGTCAACTCCATACAGGAGATGTTTAAAATATAACATTTTACTTTAAATCTTAATAATATACCTACATAAGTAACTATAAATTGACGCTAAACTTTACGTGACGTTAACTAGGCACCTACCTACATCTTACTAATAGGTATATAACTGACAAACTGACCCATAACTTAGGATTTTTTTTTTAAGTATACCATACATACATACCTAATAGGACCTTTAAGAAACCGAAAAAATCTTTTAATACAGTTTATTGATATAGTTTTTTGCTGCACAACTTTACCCAGACATAGTAAAACACGTAAAAGTTAACAAATTAACACTGGAAAACAACTACTATATAAAAAGTGTCAAAAAATATCTATAATTCTAAAAAAATAACAATAACTACATAATACACACATCACAAACAAAATAAATTTAAGACCCACGCTACTGATTCCGAGCGGCTTATTGAGAGGTTGGACCCCAAAATGGCGGTGTGCGCGTAGATGTGCGCGTAGCGTTGCCGCCAAGACAAGTTAGCCTGCCGATTGTTTCTTATGCCGTGGCATTGGCTTCTTATGAGCATTTCCTATCTCTATCTCCCTAATCTCTGAGTAGACCCTTTAAAACCGCTAATATCTATTTTCTATACCACTTTGATTTTAGAATTCTAATATAGCATGACATAAAATGTCAATTTGTGATATATACCAATAAAATAATATAAATAATTCCAAAATTCATCATACCAAATTACCGTAATAAGATTTGGTTTTTTTATCATGAAAGTGGAACACTACTATCCACCGAATAACCATCTTTTGACTGAACCGAAATATGGGAGAGCAAAAAGGATAAAAATTTGGATCAATGGGGATACTTACTGCAACGAATTTTCTATAAATCCGAAGAATTTTAGAAGTTGGATATCCATTTTAAATCATTTTTCTGTTATGATGAAACCTGGTTTTGGGGCAATAAGGAAACTGGTGGCATTGAGTTCTATGAAAGTTGTTGATTGTTTCGAAGATTTGGATCCTTGTGATAAATATGTTGCTCTTGGTGTCAGTTGTCGACTTAAATTTCCACCTGGAGGGTAAGATATATATACAGTATGTACGAAATTAAAGTGTTATTGGTATCTCAATTATTATTTATAACTTTTTAACTATACTACGATCTGTAATACTCATTGGAGTGGATATAGGCTACATTTTACATCGTGAATATGTTTGCACGAATTGGTAGATTTGGGAAAATAATGGTGAGTAAATTTGAAATTCAGTCGAAAATTTTTAATTTGTAAGAATTACTTTTTAAGTACTATTTTGATATTTTCCATATTCATAAGACTTATGACGAAGAAGTCACTAAATTTTTATTTCGATTAGTGTAAAAATTGTATATTTTAATTAACCTACCTTTGGGAACGTTACATATTTTGTTTTCCTAGAAATTCCCGGTTTTGAATATTTGCCCTTAAAGTTTAAAATTCGATTTGTAGATTATCTAGTTCTGTTCGGCCAGTGTCGAAAGGACGTTTTTTTTTTATTTTGTTATTTATAAATAGTGAACTGGAGGTGGAATCTCCCACTCCGAAAATGCGCAGACATCAAGCTCGTCTACTCAGGAGACATAAATACGAGGGGCAAAACAAATTTCTCTCTCTTGACTCCTGACCACCGTAAGCTCTGTCCTCCGACGCTGCTAGTAGAACCACCGTTTATAGTAGTGACATGTTAAAGTAAACTCGAACCAAAATCTTTTGTTTTTGCATTGGCAATAGTACTCTAAATCAAGGTAGGCTTTCGTTTATTATTTTCGATTCAAGATTGTTTTGTTCTTCGCTGGTCTTTGATTCACCGCATACTGTAACGCTTCGCATAAATTCACATATTTTCCAAATTCTAATTAAGGTAAAAGGAGGGGTACATGTCACGTTATGCGTGTTCTTAATAAAAATGTCATGATTTACGTATTATTTGATAATTAGAGACCAGCTATGTCCCAGGAGGTTAGACGATAAGGGTCTAAATAGTGTAAGTACTAAGTTACTATAACGACTTCGTAGCACTTAACTCTATAAGGGTTCTACTTTTGATATAAGACCTAACACGCCTCTGTAAAAAGGCTGAAGGAAACACAGTGTTATTAAAACAAATTTTTTATTATAATTAAAATAATTATACAAAACGGGTCCTAACTGAACACACACCAATATGGGGCTTAATATAATATTAAAAGACTTCGCTAATATTTGATCAATACTGCGATTCAAAAACACAAAAAAGGCTCTAAGCCCTAAGACCAAGATGCGGCCTAGCCACGCGGAGAATTCCTTATGTAATCTCAATTCCCCTTTATAGTTGTTTTTTTAGTTTTTTATTATTTTATTTATATTTAATAATTATTGAATAATCAGCCTTGTACATGATTGCAACTTAAAACAAGTTTATGACACAATTATACAATCTTTCAGGTATAGGATGTTTTTTAAATACTTAATTAGAATTTAGAAATATTTGAATTTATACGAAGCGTGACAATACCGTTTTTAAACCAAGAGGAGCGATTTGAATTTAAGTTGGGAATTCTGTAGACTTCTGATTGGTCAGATTGCGGTCAGTTTCATACAATACTTTTCAGGCACTTTGATTACTATACGATGCAAGAGAGAGGTCCGACACGCCCAACATACACGGAAAAAAATGTGACTAGAAAATTTTACTACAATGTTGTAGTAGTAGACTTGTAGAAAAATACTTAACAATTTGTAGAAAATTTTACTACAATTTATAGTTAAAAACTATTAATTATTGTAGCAATTGAATTGTCGAATAAAATGCTACAACAATAGGAAAGAAGTCCACAATGTTTAGTATATTTTACTATTGTTTGTAGAAGTAGAAATTTATTACAATTATCGTAATTACTACTACTAACTTCTGTAAAAATTTGTACAAATATTAATAATTATCTCTACAAAAAATAGTAATTTTCTCTACAAAAAATAGTAATACTTTACATCCCTTCTTTAAAAATATTCTATAATATTGTAGAAATTCTAAGTCATATGATCAAAACAGAATTCTGCTATTGGCCAACGTTTTCTGACGTCGATCATTAACGGCCAGACAGCAGTAGCCGTTCGCCATGTTCACATAACAAAGCATGGTACATATACGAGTACCTATAACACATTATTATATTATAAGCACCGATGCGTTTGAGAAAATTTTAATAATAAATTCTATTGGTGGTAAGTACATTTATTATTGTTTCTGAATAATTTACCTTTAGATAACTAATTTAAATAACCTTAGTAGATTATTTTAAAAAAATAGTTGTGGCCAACGATCGAATGTTGTGCCCAACGATCGAATTTTGTGCCAAGTTCAATGTTTTTTGTCTTAATTGTGATATACCTACTTTCTCATTCTTGTTAGTTATCTGACTTAGTCATTTAATATCCAAATCAGTGTAAAGGTGATAAATATCCTCGTTTTAAGGGTATGAACAATTCAATTGGTATTAATTTTTATTTCATATTTTTCAGGTGCAGAAAAGCCAACTGAGACTGAGGGCGTTATTATTACTGTTATTTATTACATAATGTAATTAAGAATTTGTATCTTTTATATTAAAACAATAAATTGAATATTTTATTAAGGAACATTTTTTTCTAGGTTATAATTATAATAATTATGGAATACTACTACAAATTTTATTAAAAATTACTACAATTTGTATGAATTTTTACTATTTATTGTGTAAAATTTTCGTATTTATTTTCATAAAACGCAATACATTTTTAATATAAATTTATACAATGAATAGCAAAAATTATAACAATTTGTAGAACGATTCTTATGATGCATTTGGATCTTTTTACTAAATATTGTAGATAATAACTCTACAATATATTCTCCACAAACATTTGGAAATTTTTACTACAAATTGTCCCTGTCCCTATATGTACTATTTATTGTAGAGAAAAAATCTACAATTGTAGAAATTTGTTCTACAATTTTTTTTCCGTGTAGGGAGCGGCCATTTTGATGCCTTTTCCACAGTTTATAGCTAAAGAATCAGTTCGCTCACTCTGCGTCGGCACTTTTGATCTCAAAGTTTATACACTGCGCAACTCGGATAATATAATATATGACAACCGCCTATAATAAAACAGCAGTCTTCTGCGCATCCTGAATTGCGTAAATAATTTGGTTTTGTGATTTATTAAGGCTATACTACAATATTTGTTTGGATCATCTATTGGTCCTTTTTTATGAAAATGAATCATTTTAATTTTAGACCAAGAGGAAGGCATAGCTTCCTCCAAAAATATTTTGTTAAAAAGGGATTTTAAATACATAACCCAGTCTAGGGGCAGGTTTTCATTACTTATATTATCTTCCTCAGGTTTTTTATTATTTTTTGTTTGGTTTAAAATATTAAAAAATTCTGAATTGGAAAAATCCGTGTTTATATAAGGGTGCCTAGCGTCTACGAGTTGTTGTATCTGGAGTTGGTTTATAGACATTTTTATAATAGCTAATCATAGTATTCATGTCAATCCCGCTTTTACTATTTTTATTTTTATTTAAATTAATGTATTTCCAGAATTCATTAGAGTTATTAACAATTTCTAATTTAAATCTTGTATCTTTTTACATTCCTATCTGTATACAGATATAAGGAAAGTATAGGAATCATGATTTTTTTCGACCTCGAGTTTTCGACGGATTTTTACGTTTTGAGGTCCCCTGAATCCGTTTTGACTATTTCCGCGATAATGTCTGTCTGTCTGTCTGTCTGTCTGTCTGTCTGTCTGTCTGTCTGTCTGTCTGTCTGTCTGTCTGTCTGTCTGTCTGTCTGTCTGTCTGTCTGTCTGTCTGTCTGTCTGTCTGTCTGTCTGTCTGTCTGTCTGTCTGTCTGTCTGTCTGTCTGTCTGTCTGTATGTCTGTCTGTCTGTCTGTCTGTCTGTCTGTCTGTCTGTCTGTGTGTGTGTGTGTGTGTGTGTGTGTCTGTGTGTGTGTGTGTGTGTCTGTATAACGCATAACTCATGAACCGATACACAGAAAAACACCAAATTTTAAACTTAAGCTTTGTTTCAGCGTCTAATGAGCTGATTAGATTTTGGACAGAGTCGGAACATTCGGGGGGGTACTTTATAGGTGGTCATTTTTATATTTTATGGAATATATCTGTTATTTACGTTTGGAGAAGAAAATTCTTTAAATAAAAGTTACTTCTAATATTATTATCTATAATTTTTGTTCTATACAAAATTTTCCTAAAATGGTCCGTATTCGAGAAATTTGACAAAATGTAAAAAAAATATTTTTTTATAAAAATTGTTCAAATAAAAGTTGTTTGTAATATAATTCTCTATAATTTTTATTCTCTACATAATTTCTCTAAAATGGACCGTATTCGAGATATTTGAGAAAATGTGTAAATTTCGAATTTTGAAAAAAACTCAAAAACGGATAAAGAAAAAAACATTAAATTTTAAACTTAAGGTTTATTTCGGCCTGACGTGAAATGATTAGATTTTGGACAAAGTCGGAACATCTGGGGGGGTACTTTATGGGAGGCCGTTTTTATATTTTATGGAATATATCTGTTATTTATGTTTGGAGAGGAAAATTGATCAAATAAAAGTTACTTCTAATATTATTATCTGTAATTTTTGTTTTATGTAAAAATTTCCTGAAATGGTCCGTATTCGAGAAATTTGACAAAACGTGCAAAATTCTGATTTTTATTATGAAAGTTTTTGAAATAAAAGTTGTTTGCGATATCGATCTCTATAATTTTTGTTTATACATGATTTTTCTAAAATGGATCGTAATGAAAAAATTGTAGGAAATTAAAATTTTTCAGTATTTTCGTTTTCCATGAATATCTATAGAAAAATGTTTCGAGGTAGATGTATATGGACAATGTATATATTTAGTTTATCCTCTAAACATTTATATAACTAGATAGGAAAGTCATGTGTTGGACACATCAGATTTTTCATATTGGAGTTTTTTTACTTTTTAATAACTGCTTGTATTCTTTTTTAGTTTTTCTATATTTTAAAACAATGTC